TGTGTGTCACTGTGACTGTCACTGGGGCACACCTTCCCCTGTTCACGTCTTCCCAAGGAAGACTCTTCGGGAGAATCTGATGGAAGGCACCCTGGAAGGATCGCTGCAGCTGTGTCACAGCAGCGAGTGGATGACGCCTGAAAACTTTGAGAAGGTGATGCAGCACATTGTGAAGCACAGGGGGCAAGCAAGGACAAGCCAGTCGTCTTGGTGCTCGACAGTCACGTCAGCCATGTCATCCTGAACGTGTTGACGTTGGCGAAGGAGAACGGAGTCCATATCGTGACTCTACCTCCTCACACGAGTCACAGGCTCCAACTGCTCGATGTCACCGTCTTCGGTCCGATGAGGACAAGCTTCAACAAGCAGGTAGACAGCTGGATGCTTCAAAACGCGGGTAAGTTCATCAAGCTTCTGAACATGGGGGAGCTCATTGGGCAGGCGCTGATCCGTTCGGTCATCCCAGTCAACATCTTGTCCGGCTTTCGAAAGACAGAAATCTGGCCACTGGACACCGAAGTCTTCACCAAGGATGACTTCCTTCCCGCAGACGTGGCCGGCAGACCAGCTCCCTCAGCGACTGCAGGAGCGCCCGGGGTGGCTGAAGACGACATACACGAGGCGGACACACACAGGAAGCGGACACACACGATGCAAAGACACATGCAGCGGGCGCACACGAAGATGACACACACGAAGCGGAAACGCACGAAGAGGACCACGTCGAGAGTCCGGAGCCTCCATCCCTGTCAAGGAGGCCGACTGATCCGGTTGACCTGCAGCTGAAAAGGCCACCATTTGCAAGCAACAAACCGGATGCAGTTTCTGGGCCGTCACGAGCTCCAGCTGAGGTCCAAGGAGGTGACCCACTCAGCCCAGTATCTCCCGCAGTCCGCCTTGTCTCACCGCAGGAGTTTCGAGGATATCCGAAAAAGAGTTATTTTTATCCCAATTTCTTCCTTAAATCGATAAAGCAGCAATGACAAAGTGACATTAAGCAGTCCCCAGATCGCCCATATGATCCTTAAGGAAACATTGTTCATTACTGAAATGTCTTATATTTTCGTGATTATGATTTTCCTCTCATTTTCGCCTTTCCTTTGGTTGTTACTTATGTTGTAGTTCCGTCAAAATACAGTTTTTTTAATGGACAATTTTGTATCCCAAAGGATCCTCCATTGAGTCATGTTGTCCAATGCCTATGCATATGTTCCATAACCGTATCCATACACTTCCTGGTCCTCCACCTTTTAACGCAGGACTCAAAGTGGAGCTGAGTCGTCGAGGGCGGACAAAAGGAAAGACCATAATAGCTAAGAGTACACCAGAGCTGGAAAGAAAAAAGAGGAAGAGGAGAAGAAGACCCGAAAGTCGCAAGCCAGACACGAGCGTGTGTCAAAGCGACTATTCGATGCCAAGAGCAACACCGCTAACACGAAAGGTAAGAAGAGAAAGCTGGGAGGTGCAAAGGACTTGCCAAAGGCTGACGATAAAGCGTCGTGTCTGTACTGTGGGATGCAGTACGGGCTCAGCCGTGAATCGTGGCTCCAGTGTACGACATGCAAAAAGTGGGCGTGCTTGCCGTGTACCGACGCAACAACCTGGCAGGCACAGTTTGTATGTGACGTCTGCCGAGACTGATAATCCGCTTATCCGCTATGATCCGATATGATTCGCTGTGTCGCGGGTATCGCACTGGCTGTACTGATTTAACGTGCTTGGTACGATGTGTAGGAAGTTTTGTGACCGTGTACGTTGTTAAATGGGTACCTAAGATAGGTGCTGATATTGTTAGTCATGCGATCCGCTGTGTTGCCATTAACGCATTGACTGCAGATTCAACGTGAGTAGTACAATGTTCAGGAAGTTTTGTGACAGTTGCTTTGCCTGTTTTGTGCTTAGACTGCCGAGACTGTGAGTCATACGATCCGCTGTGCTACAAGTATCGAATTGCCTGTGCTGATACGTGATTATGCGATGTGTAGGAAGCTTTCGACCGTTGTCGTTGCCTAGTATGTGCCTAGACTGCCAAGGTTGATGGTCATGCGATCCGCTGTGCCGTAAGTAGCGCATTGGCTGTGATGATTTAACGTGATTATGACGACTGCAGGTTGTGTAGCGGTGTCGTCTGGCTGTTGTGTAGACAGCCGGCATTACTACTAGCCGGATCTTATGTTAGAAATACCTTCCCTTTGTTGGGGCTCTTCTGGCAAAAACAGAATGTTTTTTTGGAGGTGGAAAACATATCCTGAATTCACGTTCTAAAATGCTGTGTCTCAGTTTTAACACGAGATAAATGAATCTGATATGCTACCATTTTCAGCGGAAGGAAACGTTGCCACGACCACTGACAAGCTCTTGAACGCAAGTAGATGGCAATGCAGTGCACTCATTTTACCAGTTGCAAGTTAATTATAGACATGTAGCCAAGTAGAAATGTTGTCCCAATGCTCCTTAGTATGTCCCAATTCATATTCACGTTTGTCCCGATTCTCCTGCGTGTGTCCCGATTCTCCTGTAAATGAAGGTCTTTGTTTTTGCTCCACGCGTGTCGTATCCTACCACAAAGTGAAACTTACTTAAAAGTATGATGCAAATAAATATCCAATTTATTCATTAGTATGGTGCAATGTTACCTAGCTTTCATGCTTTTTCTGCAAAGACTCATCCAAGTTGAAGTTGCAAAAGTGTCCCAATTCTCCTGCCTCTCCCCTACTTCCTTCCGAGCAAGGGGCCTCATGAGTAGAACATCAGGGATACCTTACCGATTCCGGTCAAGGGCTGAAGGGCCATTCCGTCCCATCGCAAAGTGTCTTCTGGCTATCATTCTGGTGGCACGGGGCGGGATCTCCTGGTCGATCCGGAGGTCATTAGAAGGATATCTCATATCACATTGTTCCCATCCCTGACACGGGAGGCCTTCTGACCCGCGCAGTTAGCCCCGGATCAGCACAAGAACCTTCATTGACGCAGCAACATCCCTGATCACCGCATGTAGTCCAATAGTTGTCACATAGACTCCAGTTCCGTATTTTTCTGTGTTCTTCAGAGATATTGGGTTCTCCCTGACTGTAGATTGTGGATGAAATGAGGTTCCTAATTTGTATTAGCATGACTAACCTATGTTCGTCTTAAAATGCCAAAGATCCTGTCAGGGCTGATAACTAATAAGAAAACTAAGCAATATGGTGTTGAACATGCGTGCTCGCAGGTCATAGCAATGACAGCCTCAACGCCCGGCGTTGCAGTCTCCAGGCCGTGCGGCGTCGGGCTTGTGTCTGTAACACAAAGCAATGGCCTATGAGCAAACGAAAAGATGGCGCATCTTAAGAGAGATGGCTGGTGAACTAGGTAAATCGGCATGCATGTTTAATGTAGTGCAAAAGTAAGTCAAATGCAACCTTAATCTAAAAAGTGGGGGGGGGGGGCAGTTAACATTGCTGGCCCCCCATCTTGAAAAGTGGGGGGGGGCATGGCCGCCTGCCCCCCCCCCATTCCTACGCTCATGGTTTTGAGATAAAGTTGGATTGATATTTCAGCAACATGCCCTTATCGAAACAATAGCAGAAGTGACTTCTGACTCGAGGATAAAGGCATGTTACCGAAATATCAACCCAACTTTATCTTTATTCTCCTGATTTTTCTCCGAGGAATAAGGCTAATACCACTGTCTTACCCATGCGAATGATGTTCCTCGCCAATGCACTGAGCAGGTTACGAGACTAAATCTAAAAGTAATTGATACCGCGGCGGCATTTACTGCGCAATTAGATTCGCGTCGTGACGAGAGTACCGCGCATGCGAACAAAGCGGCTGCAGGCGCAGCTCGTGGCCACTCCCAGCACCAACTGCAATATGCGCGCGGGGTTACTGACATCTGGGCGGCGGGGTGCGGCCCACTTTCCTCGACAATCAGTTCGGCGGGGCGCCCTGCAGCGGGTGGAGTTGCGGAGCTCGGCGCCAAATCGGCCGTCTGCTGGGAGGGGGGGGGGGGGGGGCGGATCTGGCCGCGGCAGGGCAGGGGCGGAGTTAGGCGATGGCCCTGGGCAGGCGCGCTCGAGTCAACAGAGCGGGTGACACGTGAGAGGTTCTCCCTCGTCGAGGTGTGGCGGATGTGGTGGTGAATGTTTTTGAATGGCGGCATATTGTTGAATGACACCGGACGTCCGCCTTGGTGGCACATGCTACTATTGGTCATACATCTGCAGAATGACGTTGGGCCTTTTAACTACAACAGGTGGCATGCAAAATATGTGGATGATCACGGGCCTCACCACAGAAAGTACGGGGGACTCATCCCTTTCCCTTCCTCAAATTCCCAGGCATCCCGTATTACCCGCACTCATCACGTTGCGTGAAAAGAAGCGCTCCAAAAACCAGGATACCCCTCCGAATTTGGACACGCGGCGAAGCCAATGGCCATGGCCAGTTCCAGACATTAATCACTGAGTTTCATCACCGAACATGCCGAGAAACATGGTTCACGTGACGCCAGGCGTCCAGCGCCTCTAGTTCAAAAAGCTCAGCGATAGGACAGCCTAAGCAGGTGAACAATGTACCACCCGATAGATAAGGTCTTCGCCATACCCCACTCCACACATAAAATATCATGTGCGCACCAGAATCCCCCGCTGGGCGAGTAGACACAGACAGGTGATTGGTGGCGGAAGAGCAAAACCGGTTTAAACCGGCACGAGCCGAGAGCTGGCTATGCGCAGCCCGTGTGTCTTGTTGCAATCGCCCCAGCCGCGCCTCATGAATAAAGCAGCGCTCGGTATCCGCTATCCGCTCTTGCAAGCGCGACTTTCGCTAGCGGGTTCTGGGTCGGACGGGCCGCGCCGGCGCGCTCCGCCCCATCGTGTGATATGGCAGTCACCAGGAAGCGCCCCGCAGGTGCAGGGGCGAGAGAACTGCAGAGTGAGACCGCGTCCCGCGACGCTGGCGCAGGCTCGGCGCACGCTGACCCGCTCTGCGACCGACCGGAACTGACCGAGGATCAGGGTCAGAGGGCCGGACACCGGTGAGAAGACCAGGGATCGAGGGCCGGACACCGGTGAGAAGACCAGGGATCAAGAGCCGGACATCGATAAGAAGACCAGGGACCGAGAGCCGGACACCGGTGAGAAGACCAAGGACCGAGGGCCGGACACCGGTAAGAAGACCAGGGACCGAAGGCCGGACACCGGTGATAAGACCATGGACTGAGGGCCGGAGGCTGGTAAGAAGACCAGGGACCGAGGGCCAGACACCTGTGATAAGAACAGGGACCGACGGCCAGACACCGGTGAGAAGACCGGGGACCGAGGGCCAGACACCGGTGATAAGACCAGGGACTGAGAGCCGGACACCGGTGAGAAGACCAGGGACCGAGAGCCGGACACCGGTGAGAAGACCAGGGGCCGAGGACCGAACACCGGTGAGAAGACCAAGGGCCGAGGGCCGGACACCGGTGAGAAAACCAGGGACTGAGGGCCGGACACCGGTGAGAAGACCAGCTACTGAAGGCCGTAGGCTGGTGAGAAAACCCGGGACCGACGGCCGGACACCGGCAAGAAGACCAGGGACCGAGAGCCGGACACCGGTGATAAGACCAGGGACCGAGGACCGGACACCGGAAAGAAGACCAGAGGCCGAGGACCGAACACCGGTGAGAAAAACAGGGTCCGAGGGTCGGACACCGGTCAGGAGAACAGGGACCGAGGGCCAGACACTGGTGAGAAGACCAGGGATCAAGAGCCGGACACGGGTCAGAAGATCAGGGACCGAGAGCCGGACACCGGTGAGAAGACCAGGGACCGGGAGCCGGACACCGGTGAGAAGACCAGGGACCGAGAGCCGGACACCAGTCAGAAGAACAGGGACCGAGAGCCGGACACCGGTGAGAAGACCAGGGACCGAGAGCCGGACACCGGTGAGAAGACCAGGGACCGAGAGCCGGACACCAGTCAGAAGAACAGGGACCGAGAGCCGGACACCGGTCAGAAGAACAGGGACCGAGAGCTGGACACCGGTGAGGAGACCAGGGACCGAGAGCCGGACACCAGTCAGAAGAACAGGGACCGAGGGCCAGACACCGGTGAGGAGACCAGGGACCGAGAGCTGGACACCGGTCGGTGGAGCAGCGTCCCGAGAACAAACCAGAGCGCGTGGGGCGGACCAATGCCGGTCAGTGTCTCTGGCGAGGAGGACTGGCTTCCCGCGCCGACGACCGGGCCGAGAGCGCGGCGCTGTCGCGCTTGAACGACGATCCCTCTCAAGGCCCAGAACCGACGCCTGGTGCTGAACAAGAGTGCGGTGAGCTTCAGGTCCAGTTGGCGATTGAAACGCCCTAAGCGGCAGCTCTGACTCTGACCCCGCTGCTTGCTGACGGCACGTGCTGAGGGCACCATGACCTACGGTGCGTGCTGCGTCGCTGTGTTCGTGCTTGTGGTAAGTACGCTGCGCCAAGTCCTATGCGTAAGCCGCCGGACTCACTTCATGGAACAGATTTGGTGCTCAGCGTCCCGCCGCCTGTACTGGTTTCCCTCGTCTGCACAGCGCTAACAGTGGAATGCGTCGCCTACTCCGGTGCCGCACAAAAAGCTCGGTCTGACGAGGCTGGCCGACGCGTTCTCTGACTGATCCATCTTTTTGCGAGAACCGTAGATAGAAAATGCGGGATGGAAGGACACGGTATTGTCACTACATCACAAACTTTAAGTGAAGTCAGCTTTTTGTTCACATGCTACCACGGAAAGAACCTCGAAGGTCCTTCGCTGGCTGGTTGGCTGACAAGCTGGCTGGCTGACTGGTTTGTTGATTGATTGATTGATTGGTTGATTGGTTGGCTGGCTGGTCAATGGGGTTAATTGGTTGACAAAGGGTTCCAGTGCCGTGGTTGTCCCCTACAAACCCTGACCGGCAATGTGTTAACTTATACACATTCAGTGTTTTTACACGGCCGATTCTAATGCATTTGTTTTACTGCAATGCTCGAACTTAGTTCATGAAACATTTCCAGTGAGTTAAAACGCAACAGCACTGAAACACAAACAATGGGAAAGTCAAAATACATGTAATGCTTGGAGGCCGAAAATACATGTTTGATGTTAATGCAACGATCAGGTGTATGTTACGGTGTATGATCAGGTGTATGCTACGTTCTGGTGACGCCTTTTTGCGCAACCTGCTTAACATACGCATTTTGTGATAGCATATTGACTCATCTACCGACGTTGCCGAGACAGTCAGATGTACAAATTTAGGAAGTTTTGCATTTGGTCTTCGATGCGTAAAACCAGTTTCTCTGGCCTTTTTAATGATTACACGTCTAGCGTGGGGCCAGAAACGCCGGGCTCACCAGAACAAACCGTGGGGATAAACATTAAATATCCTGGTGTAAGCAATTTTGACCTAATTTTGCCGTCAGTGCCAAAAACTGTGCCTTCAAGCAGCGACTATTTGAAATAAAAACGTTCAAAATCATGTCAACACGCATACCGTCCACAAACAAGCGTTCGGACTTCTTTTACATCATTTTTCTTGTCACCAGCGCGGTCTGTCCAGCGACACATTGACAACAATTGTAAACCGGGTTGATCATTTCCAGAGCGTGGTGACGTCATCATCCCCGGACCAATCGCAGTCGCTTCGTCGCTCCGGACAGCGACCGTCAGCTGATCATCGCCAAAGTCGCGCCGTGCGGCTGCCGAGCAGAGAAGATATTGCCATATTCACGGTAAGCTGTGGTATCGACGGTTCCGAGCAGAAGTCTGGAGTGACGTTCAGGACTACTAGGTTTTGCAACGAAGCTCCGCGTTCCGTGAGCATGACGTGCCAAAGACATGCGAATGAATCGTACTGGCTGTGCGTGCGTGCGGATTGGCACAGAGCTGTGCGAAACAGGTAGATTTTTGACCCGTTCGTCGGTTACTATCACAAGCAGGCACTTGCCACATTGCGGTATTGCGTATTTCTTGAAGGGAATGCTCCACATTTGAAGGTTTTGAGGCAGGCAGCAGGTATGATCAAAACACCTCACCTGTTAATGTCGATATGCTTCGGAGTGCAGAAGTCTGCTCTAGACAACATAATTTCCCTATCTGTTAAACATACTCCTCGATACGTCATCGTTTGATCATGTCATGAAACGCTTATCTGACGTCAGAATCGCTGGCAATCTGGCCGTGTACAAATTGCCACGGTAGCGAATGGGCTCACTCAATTGTGGTACTTCTACGCGCCAAAAGATGGCGTTGGTGGTCTATGCGCGTATATTCACGATTTGATCGCTATGGGCGTGAGCTTTGGCCATTCTCGCGCTTTTCTTGCACATGTGTTCGCAATTTTAAATTTTTACTTGCATTTGCATTCTCGGCTACGGCACTATTTTTGAGTTATTCGATTCCCAGTCTCATGTCCGTAATAACTCGAAAGATCGCCTGCATGATGTACCAGAGAACGCAGTTCATCATGGATCTTGCCTTTATTATGTTCAGCTGCTTAAAAGCCAAATTCTGCCTGTAGATGCGGCGATTCGTGCCGACATACCCCAAACATGAATGAATCAATGGTGGTGTTTTTCTTGAACACAATGCAGCCATTAAAGGGAGTGCTCCACATTAGTATGGTGTTTTGAACTGAAGTAGCCATCTTGAAGATCATTTGGTGCAGCTCACACCCCTGAACGCCTAAACCCTTCCAGTTTCTGATGTACATGCCCGCGAAGATGTACAGAATAATACGGAGAGGCTATTTCCAGGCCACCCAGGCATGAATGACGCCGTAATGGCGTAATTTGTATCCTGCTATTTCACTATCCGTGCGGCAATTAATGCCAAGAAAGATATCATTAAGTCGTTTATATCTGAAGTTTGTGGGCACAAATTCTAGACATAACGGCCACCCATTGGCTCTCAGTCAATGCTCTGCAAGATACGAGGACGAAATCAAACCATGACGAATGAGGGAACATATTTACTCCACGGAGAACTTGTGTTGTTTAGAGCGGTCTTCATTCCCGATGCCTTCTTCAGCATTTTCAAACTTGAAGCATTTCCTTTAAAGCAGGACTCATGTGGCGTCTCTATGACGCTATGCATCTCTGCATACCTTCGAAACTGAGGAACGAAACGAGAAGATTTGAAGTCTTCAAAGTGGATGACTGTGAGCTGCGGGGAATGAATGGCCTTGAAAATGGTTATCTCAGTTCAAACCCCATACAAATGGTAAACAGCCCGTTTAAGTGTCATAGGTCATGAACTTCACCCACGCTCAATGGATTGTTGCATCTTTTTGGCTACAAAATTAGCACACCTTTCTACTCACCAGGGTTGTATTTTCTCATCCAGTTTCGGGAAGCGCTTCAGATCCTAGCAATAACTTGGATTCCAGTCCGTTACCCAGACTTTGAGAAGAAAGCTGATCAACTCCGGAGACGGTCCGTGGAACCGTTTTGTAGGCGTATTTTCGGGTCAAGATTCCACATTTCTCACTGTCCAACCCATTCCAACCTACTGTGCGCACTACGCCCCTGTTACTTTCTATATCATCTATATCTTAGGTACACCTAACTGCGATTGTAAAGACAATTGTCTCAAAATTCGTACCTATCGTTTTAAATACTTCATTTAAAGGCTTAGAGCGCGCCATTCACTGACTTGTTGCGCAACATCCAATGGCTTTTTTCGCGCCATTCACTGGCTTGTTACACGCCATTTGTCCGCCTTATTCCTAGTTCGCCACTGTCAGCCCAGGCCTGGCGAGGTGTCGCAGATACCCACCGCTTCCTGAGAGCGCGGCTTGCCACGTGTTTCAGAGACCAATCTTGCCACGTGCGCTGCGCTCCAATCCCCGGGGCACGCCGTGCGTGCTGGGCCTGGTCTGCGCCAGCACCGTGTGCGTCAACCACCGCTGCGTCGACTGCAAGAGAGACTCGGACTGCGTGGGCGACTTCTTCTGTAGTTATCCGGGCCGCCGCTGTGTGCCGCTAGTGTCGCTGGGCGGTGCCTGTCACCGCCACGGCATGTGTTACACTGGCCTCTGCATGAATTACGTGTGCGTGCAGTGCGAGGAAGATCATAACTGCCTGCCATATGGCCAGTATTGCTCGCCAGTCGGGCTCTGTGAGGATTACTACGTTCCTGAGTACGGAGGGTATCTTGACTATGAGTCGGGTTATCAGGCACATGGTTACTATGACTACGAGGGCGGCTTGATTTACAACTAACGGTGTCGTGTCCTCTGCCGTGCGAATTTCACCATCCCCTGATATGGGACTTCCGTTTTAAGCCCTCACTGGCTCCTGACCAATGGCGGCGGTGAAAATGTTATTACGCCGTGAAATATGTGCAGAAGTGGTGTTTAATGGTACCAGCGTGGGAGGATGTGCGCTCGTAATTGAATGCGAATCAGTCTAGCCTCCAGCTTAGATAGTACGCAGGGTGCTGCAGCGTCGGTTGGTCGTTGTCCACTGATGGATGTTCTGTTGAGTGTGTAAACGCGCTGCTGTCTTCATTTATTCTGGATGCGAGTGTCAGGAGAAATACACGATTGTTATGTGCGCTCCACGAAGTCAGGATTCTTATTGCAGAAGTACTTGTGCCAAAGGTAAAGCATTGCAAGTTAGGGTGAGAGCTACCGAATTTGTTAAACTTACCTGCAAAATACGTCACTTCTCAAAGTGGGATGAGGAGGGGGGGGGAGCTGAAGCCCCAACTGAACAGGAAACTACCCTCCTGTATTACGCAATGTTTCGCACAACTTTAGCTCTTCCATTTATGCATCAACGGGCTCAGGCAAGTTAACATGTGTATTTTGAAAAGTACCCAAGTATCGTTGTTCAATGCTCGTCTTGCCATCCAAAAATCTTTCTTGCAGTCACATTACTGGGGTCTTAATAACAACGGATACCGCCTTGGGTGCAGATAACGAATTGAAGTACATTTGACCTAACGCAGGCATTCTGATCTTGTCGATATACGACTCAAGTCCTGACGACTTTAATGTTCAACTTTTCAGTATCCTGTGGCAATCATTGGTCAGCGTGTTCCACATTTTGTTCAGTGCGCTATCAATGTCACGCCTCCTTCAGGCTTCCGCTCTCTCAGAACATCCGATGTCCATATAGCTGCTCAGCCCTGCATTCCGAAGGCGGGTGGTGGTTGACAGGCATCACCTGTGAACGGCGCCGTCGCATCCGGTGACCTCGATCGGAGCAAGGTCAGTGACCTGCAGCCTCATCCGGAGTTTGCCTGGTGTAAGCTCATAGCTGAGGTTGGTAATCTAAGATGGTAAAGAGCCTGGTTGGCGGTGTCTTTTGCGGGCACCTCTTCCGCGGCGCTGTCACTTCAGCCTCAGACCGGACGCTCAGCGGTCGTGGTCGTCTCCGCCGATTGGCTTCCGCATAAGGTTTGTGCGTGATGTGCAACCGTGCTAATGGCCTGTGTCTGTTATGCGACGGTCTGGGGCATCCCCTCCGTCAGGCTGAGAGCCAGAGGTGTGAGTTTCAAAGTCACAGGGGTGTCACTTTGGGGGGGGGGGCTGAGCCGATAATGTTGATCGAGCGTACCCAACAACCTGATGCCTCACCGGACCTGTCCCCGGAGATCTCTCGGAAATATGGATAACACCCCGCCGCAGCACCACAAAGCCATCTCCATTCCACGAGGACGGGACAGGCAACCACGCTGACGAAAGTGTGGTCCGATGTAGGAAGGCCGTGAATCCCCCTTTTTATTGTTTTTAAGGACTCAGCCATGAGTCAGACCGGCCATGGGAGCCAATAAGGCGTGAAACCGACTGCACGGTGCGGGCAGATGGCAGGTCGTCTGACACGTCCACGAGCCACTGGTCGGCCTTAGCCTGCCCGGCCCTTGCCACGCGGTAATCCTCTTGGCACTGGACAGTGCCATAAATCATGCAAATAGCACCGGATGCCATTTGCTGCCGCGGGTTCCAAGAGGCACGGAGCGATGAACGACCACACAGGCCCCAACCCGTGTCCACTGCAATTGGCATCCGCTTTCAATTGTTGCAATTGTTGCAGTTTTCGAAGCGTACTGGTCAAAAACATTGGAAGCGTAAGTCATTTCAAGCTTTTTAGATTTCCCCGACTGGAATGGCCTGGCCTGAACAGGCTCAAAGCGAGGCAATTTACAAATGATGTTATTTCTGAACTATCACACCAACGTTGCATTTGCAAATACCTTTTCTTGATGAACTGTCATGAAAGTCAAGCCTTTTAATGCACTAATAGAGCCAATCCGCACAGGCTTTATTCCATTTAAGTGCCAACTGCCCTAAAATATGTCAAAATCCATGTGTATTCAGATGTTTTCCAGTTTCTTTTCACTGGCCATATCCATTTGGCTCATGTTGGGTCCCCCTTTAAGTGTCCAATAAACGTCTCAAACACAGATAAACAAGTGCAGCTCTAAATACGCTACTAAAGCACTTGCGAACCAACGGAGTAGCCAACGGGTCAAAAGTCACCAGCGCCATTTCAGCACACTGTAACTTATCACTCTTGGTAAACTCAAAACAAAATCATGCAGCATACGTTTTGATGGATAAGTATAGTTATAATGATGTGATATATGATGATCAGATAAGTGGCTTATTCAACATCAAGGCTGCTTCTAACTTAAACGGGCACTCATGAGAAAGGGGGAAGGGGGTGGGGGGTGGGAGCGCCGGACTATGACGCAGCGGATCCAAAACTCTTCCTTTACAATGTCGACATTCTAGCCCTTCCTGACAAAGCACGTATGGGGGCCATTGGCAGCGCAATCAGATTACGATTCGCCCTTATCGGAATGTCATCAAAGACTTACTATTTCCCTATGCAGAAGGGAGTAAAATCTTTTCGCCGTATCCCGGCGAACAATGGCACCGCCCCCCCCCCCCCCCCACAGGGAACGCGCCAACGCCAAAAGCCAGTGTTAGTGCCTTTAAACTACTTCTTACAGCGGCGAGTTGTGCATGCTACCAATGCATTGACCTTTGCCGGATTTGGGAAAGATATCCTCATGGTGTTCCACAAGAATACGCTAATGGGAGTGAGAGTGATTATCGCGCCTTGAGCAATTGCAGCCGACTACTCCCATCCTGCTGGATGCATATGTGTTTTAACATTTAAAAGCATTGTCGCCGGCTAACACTGCACGATTGTGAGATGTGCCACTGCTAGACTTCCCGGCGGGTGGCTGCCTAGTTCAGCTGGGCAATTACTTGATTACGACAAGCTCATGCCACGCGTACGCGTTGTGGAGCTTAGACGATATCAGGGTCAGAAACTCGTATATGAAAGGTGTATTAACGGTTTACTACAACGCACAAGGCACACGCGTCGTTCCATTTCGCTAGTGCTCTTCTGAACGAAACGGACTAACTATGAGGTAAAATACAAAGCTTAAATGTTCTTCAGAAACGACATGAATGAAAGCACCGCGACATCAGGACAAGCCGACCTCCTCTGGGACTGGTGAGGGCCCGGACCTGGGCCCTAGGACCCGACAGCTCCGAACACGCGAACATCACATCAGCCGCCGGAAATCCTAAAAAGTCACCAGCACCCTGTTGCCACCCTGTTGCCACCCGATAACGCATCCACGTGTCGTTCACGCAACCCTGAGCCCTTCATTCGGGCTCCTCGCATCCCTTTCGTCGTGGAGACGCTTCGTGCATGCGGAATCGTGGCCTCAGCATGGCATACGCGTTGGCAGGTAGCTGGTTCTGTTCTGTCGGCCTTGGCCAGCTACCCATGGCTCCTCGGCGCTGGCTACATCCCGCCATTGCACATTCTCAGCAGCTGCCACGGTGAGGAGTTTGGCAGTGCGCAGCCTTCATGTAAAACGAACAGCATTCTACAAGCTCACGCAACCGTGACAGAATACCCAAAACTCAACAGGTGCAAGCAGCTACAACAAGCAAGACTCGCGGGAGTCCACAGGACAGCTACACAAGACAGCTACAACAGACAGACACTCCACAGACACTGGAAGACACTGGACACTCCACAGACACACAGACAGACAGACACGCAGACACAGACAGACAGACACACAGACACAGACAGACAGACACACAGACACTGGACACTCCACAGACACACAGACCACAGACACAGACAGACACCACAGACACAGACACAGACACTCCACAGACACAGACAGACACTCCACAAGACAGCTACAACAACAGCTACAAGGCAATTCAGACTCGCTGCTGAGCCCTAACCGAACGCTGATTATCACGACATTACGAACTATCTCTTGAGCCATCAACTCCAAGAAAACAAGCTTGCGCATAAGTTCGTGCAAGTTGCAGTGGCGTACAAGCTAAACAAAATGAATGCGATGGTTTTGAAATATGCAGCCCATGCTCACACATCAGTCGCTTTAATTTAAAAAGACTAGTATACGCATGGCGGCATCAAAACGACGGAATGCTAACACTGGAAGACCAGGCCGCAATGGCTGTCGGAGCCGGCATGATCGTGCTGCTCACCATGCTCACTTCACTGAACTTATGTTTGCATTGACCTCATGCCACCGACTACCGGAGACAGTACGCAAGGTCCATCTTTCCACTACGAATTCGCTCACAACTGAAGTGTGGTCCCGCGGGAGAGCACCACGTCGCTGCCGAATGTCTTTGGTGTTCAACGGGATAAGGCAGCAACACGAGCATCACACACTGATGCCAGTAGATGATGAAACGATGGCGATGAACGCACACGGCATGGCCGTAGCTGGACATGTCGACGGGGGATGCAGCCTCGGGTGAACGCTCCCCGTTCTTCCGCGCAGGCGGCGTGGGAGTGGACAAGCCTCGGACGACGGCCCTTCGCAGAAGCCTCAGCCGACCTGGTATATCGTCACTCCCGCGTCACCCATGCCGCGTCGGAATTTCTCCGGAGCTCAATCCGTGTCTCCTGTTGGGCTTAGCCTGCGAGCCGGAGCCAGACCCAGTCCATTGCTGATTCCGGACAGGAGTCCAGGGAGCCGGACTCGGCCGTTCGCCAGCAGCTGGACGGCGCGGGTCTGAGCCGGGGGGGGGGGGGCTTCCGAGGCCCGTCCGGAGTCCAGCTAAGGCCCGTTCGGAGTCCTGTCAAGACCCGACCGGAGTCCCACCAAGACCCGTCCGGACTCCAGCCAAGCCCGACCGGAATCCAGCAGAGACCCGTCCGGAGTCCAGCCCCCGCCCGGGCGTCCAAAGTTGCACACCGCGCTTTGCTCACGGCCAAAGTCGAGACCCGTCCAAAGTGCTGGGTCGGCGTTCCGTCCGTGTCCGGAGCCCAGCCTTGGCGTTCCGTCCGTGTCCGGAGCCCAGCCTCGGCGTTCCGTCCGTGTCCGGAGCCCAGCCTCGGCGTTCCGTCCGTGTCCGGAGCCCAGCCTCGGCGTTCCGTCCGTGTCCGGAGCCCAGCCTCGACGTTCCATCCGTGTCCGGAGCCCAGCCTCGGCGTTCCGTCCGTGTCCGGAGCTCAGCCTTGGCGTTCCGTCCGTGTCCGGAGCCAAGGACTGGCGCTCACTAGGCGCCCGTCCTGGTGCTGTCACTGTCCGCCAGCTCGGCGGTGGACGTACCACTAGCGGTCTGCTCGACCCCAGACTCGCTGCTCACTGCTTCACTGTCACTGCTGTAGCCCTCGTTGCTGTACACACCGAGCGCGCCCGGCTCGTGTGGCGAGCGCGCGCGGCGCGCCAGACGAGCGCGCGGGATGCACGCGCTGCCGGCGCTGCTCGTGTCGTCACCGGAGCCGCCCAGACCGAGGGTCCGCGCCAGCAGCTCGGCCTGGGTCACGCCGCAGGCCGGAGGCGACGGCGGCGGGACGGCGGCCGGGTCGGCCGCGGTCGGCGTGACCGCGACGGCCAGCGGAGGGTTTGGACACTTGTCGCTGCCGGTGGCGAGCAGCGACGGCGGGCCGAGGTAGGTCGGTGGGTCGGCGGAGCTGGCGCTCTCGGCCGAGTCACGCTCCCGTTTGCGGAAGCCGCAGAGGGTGCTGCCCGGCCCGCACAGTGAGAGCATCACGGGCAGCAGGAACAGGCCGTGCATCAGGCCGAACGTGATCACGAGGAAGGTGGTCTTGAAAAAGACCTCAAAGATGTAGGAAGGCGCTAGACAGAGCGTGCTCACGCCGGCTATTGTGGAGAGGCCCCCTAGTAGAATCGGCAGTCCCAGGGCGTACAGACTCTCCTCCACTCTCTTGTCGGCTGACTTGCCGCGCGCTGACATGTATGCGTAACTGATGTGCGCGGAGAAATCCACCGAGAAGCCAATGCACATGATGAGATTGATCATGGAGATGCTGTCCAGATTCACGCCCCACAACGACATGTAGCCGATGACGCCGATCTCGATGCTGAGGATGCTGAATGCCACCCACAGCGAGCAGATCGGGTTGGGGATGAAGATGAGCGAGATGATGCACATGATGATGGCAGCAATGCCTGTGGACTGTATGGTGATGCTTCTTACGTAGGTGTACTGAGAACAAATACAGAAACGCAGTGGTCAGCTGGCGTGCTGAAGCATGGTGCTTCATTACTGACACGTAGGGGATGGAAGAACTGGACATAAAATTGACTAACAAGCCATGCTCTATGCAAAAGTACCACGACAGCCGCACAGGGACATGTGGGAACAGATGATGACTCACGCTAGTGCCAGGAACTGTCGACATTCGCAGGTCATTTGTGAACAAACGTCCCAAAATTTCCGTTTAAAACGTAGCCGCATCTTTCGTGCCAGCATTGTTTATCCTGCTCCACCGAAACCTCACCTGATCAAAGAAGATGAAACGAGGATCGAAGACTTCGGCTTCGAGCGGAGACTGGTCACAGATAGTCCGGAGCTCCTCCATCATCAGGCTGCTCTCCGTCTCGCCTTGGACATCCTTGATCTGGATGATGAAGCGGGAGGCAACGATGTGCCGGCCCGTCTCGTCAAACGCCACGTCCAGCTGGGGCGTGCCCCCTGGCCCGCTCAGCATCACCTACGAAGGAGAGCGGCAGCGTCAGCAGGGGCGGGTACAGGAGTGGCAATCGGGGGGGGGGGCAGCAGGGGCGATTGCAGGAGGAGAGATATTGATTGGACACCGGGTCGGTAGGCGGAATGTGGGTAGTGGAGAATCAGGTGAGTGACACGATTGGAAAAGGTGGGCAGAGGCGGTCCCAGGGGATGCCTTAGTGGAGGGAAGGGGTCAAACGGGGACAGACTCGGACAACGACTACTTTCGTCAGCGGAAGTGGACGCGGTAGCGGCGCAGGCAGTCAGTCCCCATGAACTCTTTTCGGTGGGTTGCTCGTGCAACGGTTGACTGCAGACGTAGCTCACCATCCCAAAATATTCAAGCAATCGTGAATCACCAGACTTACGTGTCCTTTCAGTTACACATATTCCGTGACTGTGACCAACTCATCGGCGTGCACTAAAGCATTGAAGGGAATCATGTGTTATGAATCGCAGTGCCTCCAATCAGCGGCGATTTGATGTAAGGAGGTTGCTAGCTGATCACCTGCTGAGGCCATAGTTACCTTCATATCCAACATATTTTACTCGCAGTTTTTTAACACGTGCCAGAGCAGCCGGCTGAATGCAATGCGCCCGGGTGGGGGTCAGTTTGACGTCAGCCTGATATCTACAAAATCAAAAGAGTTAGACACACCAAATTCACAGAGCAGGTAGGACTATACATGAGTTTACTTGTGTCAGCTTCTCAGGTCCCTAGATCATGACCTTTAGGTCAAATAAGGCCACACAATGTCGAACCCCAAATCGGTGTCCGAAGTGCCTCAGATCTTCTCATGCAACCATCTTTTAACTAAATACCTCTTCTAAGCAAAAGGTCACTGGTATCCATCTCTGGTCAGTGATTTTACTACACCTTCAGATAGTCACGGTGATCAAAAACATATGCCATTGTTTTAATTTTTTAGTTAAATATGAGTCAATAGCTATGCTAGGCGGTATGATCCTAAAAGAACATAAAAATAATCAGGGTAATTCTAGGTCAGTGACTTCCTCTGACTTTAATGAAGTCAATATATGATGTCTATTGACGCCCCTATGATCAATACATTGAAAGGATTGCAAAAACTACTCCATAAAGAAAATTCATCAGTTTTCCAAAACCTGTTAAAAAACTTTTTTGCCCGAGAAACAAAAACCAGGTTGGCCTGACTTTGGCCTGTCGGTAGGTCAAAGTAGAAAAGGAAGGTACCTTGTACCTTGTAAGGCAACCTTGCAAGGTAGGTAAGTTAACTTTACAAGGTACATCCATACTTTACCAAAAGATTGAATATCCAATTGCCTATAGGTGTACAAAGCTCGGCGCGACTTTGCATCTTCGATTTAATTTGTTCTGGAAAAAACTTTAAGGGTCAAATTGGCGCCCCTACCCGAGTGCGTGCTAATTCAAAAATTAAAACTATCACTTAGGTTTCTGCTCAACGTGACCTTTCCCCAAAATAATGTCACTTGCTTGAAGTGAAGAACAGTGACCTTTTCCTTAGTGGCGGTATCTATGCACAAAATACCCCCCTGGGTTACATGGACAGGTCTGAGACACTTCAGACGTCGCTCTGAAGTTTGACTTTGCTTGACCTTACTCAATCTTAAGGTCATAAGGTATGGATCTCAAAAGTGAATTTGGTGTGTGAAGCTCTCACATTTTTGAGATATCAGGGCGGGGCAAAACTGACCCCCATGGTGCGGGTTGCACCCAACCGCCAACTGGTGCTACCCCCCCCCCCCCCCCTCCCTATGGCATCCTTTTGACTAACCTCCTAAACTAATAATTCGTAACAGTTCGAAACCGCAGGTAGGCGTACGGGTTTAGTGGCAGAGCAAACTATTACCTACCAAACAATCGCCTCGGATTGATTTCCCATTACGATCCAATAACCTGATGCTATTCTGCTTAAATTCAAAATTCATGCGCATCCCCTGTCTACAGCATTCTGCTTTAATCCGTTATCATGATTGCACCCACTTCCTACAGAATTGGCTGCGGGTGGAGCGCGCTGATCAGATATGGTGTGAAAAGTCACTGAAGTGAGCGTTGTTCACAGGGGACAGGTTTAATACGCGTTTAGTTGAATAAAAGCTGTTATGGGGGCATCCATCTCATCTCAATCGCTCTTCATTTGCTTAGCCTCTGCGCCAATGAGTCACCAACCCACGCCTCGGCCACCCACCCTCTTGAGGCTTTCCGTCCACTTCTCGTATGTAGAGAGGTCCACCTCCAGCACGTCGCCACCCCACTCCAGCGTCCCCGTCCAGTCACGCAGCCACGAGTCCGTGTAGAACTTGTCGGCCACGAAGCGGCTCGACTCCAGTTTCTGCAGCAGCGTCTCCACCTCCTGCTGCACCTTCGGGTCCGAGTAGTTGAGCCGGCCTTCCACGATGACCTGCGCCCGAGGGAAAGCGTGAGTTGCTGCGGGGATAACGCGCTGGGTTGTGGTCTGCGAGAGCCGGGTTCGACACCCTCCGCTGGAGAATGCCACTGGCCTCAGCTCTACTAGGGACGTTGAGCGTTACAACCCTCGCAGTTACAGGCGTAGAGGAACAAGCACAGCACTTGTGGTAGCAGAGTCAAAGACTGCCAGTGACTGCGCTCTCCAACTCAGCAACAACTGCTCTCTCCAACTCAGCAACAACTGCTCTCTCCAACTGCAACTGCAACTGCTCTCTCCAACTCGCCGTGACGTTTGCCACCGTCCTGGGAAAGAGCTTCTTGATGCATTTAACCTGTTTATTTCAGACCTTCGGCCCCCTCCCCCAGCTAAAACTGGATGCCGTGTGTTCACTAATTTATTCACTGGTTTCTTTAGGCTTTGCTTTTGTAGGTGGCAATCAGCTGCACGTGCCACATGTATGCAGTCATCGTATGCCGACGGCTGAAGGCACCAAAAACACGCATTGTTTCACCTTCATACGACCTTTCAGCAGCGTTTGCCCAGACCGACTCCTCTCTCTAGTTCCTCGCCATAGTCCCGAGCAGCATGTCCACCGTGTGTCGTGCTCGGCTCCGACTCGCCTGTATTCGGTACGGGAAGTCGCTGAAGTATTTGGCGGACGTCTGGAAGTACTGCACGCTGTAGGAGTCGGGGCCGGCCAGCCGCTGCTTCTCCAGGCCCTCCTGCACGTGGAGGCAGCCGTAGATGGCGCCGGCCAGGTACAGCAGGAACGAGACGATCACCAGCGCTGCGGAGATCGGGGAGAGTCATACAGCGACTGAGTACAGCACAGACAGAGACGAGGCTGTTTTGATGACTATCTTAGCGATAGATGTGATGACGGAAATTAAGGTGGTGATGATGTGCTCTCGATGATGAAGCTGGTGATGTGATGATCGATAAATTTAGGCAGCAGATTAAACGCCGGTGGTAAAAGTGATAATGTTGGGGATTCGGTGATGATGGAGGTGATGCTTGAGACGGCGATGACGGCGGATGGTGGTGATGATGATGGTGATTATGGTGGTCTTCATAGTGGTGGTTTAAAATACAAGACATGCAGCGTACATCAAACGCTCAGCTGGCAAGATATAGACTAACGACATGAGCCTATCAATACGGCGATTAACAGACTGCACAGATCGTAGTCTGAAGGCAGATCTAACAGGACGATTAGGCCGGCGCAGGCGGGTAACGCGAGACGATAAGAAAGGCATGTGCACGAAGCCCATCGGTGTCTTTCACACCGTTTCTTAACCTGAAGGAAGGCGACGACTGTCAAGCAAAGCTAATCGCACCAGTGGGTCCTCCAACACTCGTCGCAGCGTCAGCTGCACAGACCAGACCAGAGTCACGCACCTTTCACCGTCGGCTTGTTGAGAGCCTTGGCCAGCGTGTTCTTGAAGAAGAGCATGGCGCCATGGTCAGGATTGTCGACCTCTCTCCACGGATCGGACCGTGACACACCTCCGGCGCAGAGGAGGCGGTACCAGCGCGGCTTGTCACCTGCGGCGGCGGGGCTCAGAGGTCACGCCACGCCACACCGCCTGCGGGCATGCAGACCGAAGAGGAACGACAAGGGTACCCAAGCGCGCAGCGTGATACGCGAGTGCTGTGCTCCGCGTTGCCGTTCTCATCACGTTCTGAGGTCACCCGCCTGAAGGGATGGCGCTCCACACACTCGGCTTCGTTTCCTAGCCACACCTGGTTCATTGAGCGGACTGGAAAGCGGACTCGCGCGGAATGCGGAACGAAATGTACTGGACTGCGTACTCGGCCAAGTATCGCGTGTGATAAAGACTTAGCCAATGAGAAGTGGCTTTCAAACATTCGCGTCGTGCCGCGTCCCGGAAGCGCGCTGCTCCGTAACACGGGTAACGTACCCAGCAGCCAACCGCGCGCAACGCTTCGTGGCGACTTCGGGACATTTCTTGCGGACAGGCACTACCCGTGCGCATGTGCTCTGCGCAGTTTGATTCAGCACGGGGAACACCGTGACACCGGGTTTGAAACGAGACCGCAACTCTCTGGTAACCTAACGTCAAAACCGTCCACTTGGAGGCACTGCAAAGCGCCAGCTCCGATAAGACCCATGTAAGGGATGACACTTAATCTGTCCGCATAGCGACAACGAACCAAAAAATAAACGTCAAATACCGTCGCCTCAGCCAGACAGCGAGGTTTTTTCATGCAACGCAGCTGACGAAATAACGGGTTTATTGGTGGCCCCGCCAGCAGCAGGAGTGTCCCGCAGCCGGAAGGTACCGACTTCAAATCAAGACTCCAGCATCGCGATTGGCATTCCTGTGGGGCTGCTGATCCACCGCACCTTGCGACGGCACGGCCTGGCACCCGAGCGCGTGGGCTTGATCAGCAGATGCTCGCGCGCAGCCCGCGCCCCGTCGGGTCAGGTCGCGCCGGATGGGAACTGGTTCCACGTGGGACGCTGCCTCCGATAGACTCACCCCGCCTCGGAGTGAGGCAGCAACCGGCCTCAAGGTGACCGAGTGGCAGGTTGCGTTGCTCGGCGTAACCCCGCGAACGCCAGGCACGCGCCGAAGAAGGTGAGGTGCCACAGGTAGGTTGAAGACCACCGACACCCCTGTAACGATGGCCAGGTGATGAGATGCGCGCACATGAGGGATGCTGGTAGCTAAGAAACGACTGCGTAGATGTGGCAGGGGAGCGTGAAGACACCGACGTTCCTGAAACGGCGGAGTGGGGCCGAACCAAGGGTATAGGTTATGAGTCCATTATGAGTCCTTGTGATGAGGAAAGCATGATATCGCATTCAGTATACCGGGAGGCACGTTTCTTGCGATATGGCGAGCAATCATTGGGGTTATTCTAAGAATTCCTACTCGACTTTTCTAGCAATGCTTCTGATCTAGCGATATATATATATATATATATATATATATATATATATATATATATATATATATATATAGCGATCTGGTGATGTTTTTAAAACCGTGTGGTACTTGGAACAAGGTGCTTTGAACCAGCGGCACTTCAAGCCAGCAATGCGCTCAACCAACAGTGCTGTGAACCAGCAGGACTTTGAGCTTTGTTCACTCTTGACAATGACACTACTAGCAATTCGAATATTCTCAACAGTATATGCCGATCATTGGTCGACATCTTCGCTATAACCTGCACCTCCTGAAGGGTCGGTTATCCTAGTGCGCGAACTCATAATGCCGAAACACCATCAGGTTCAAGGCCGTTTCCTTGCTCCTATCAAACGAAGAGCATTCGTAGATTTTCTAACACCGTCCAAGTCGCTGAGTAGTATTGGCACGCCATAGCACATTTGTGGAGTGCTGTAAATTGCACCTCATGACAATCCAAAACATGATCGTAGAACTTTTGTTCATATAGATAAGACAGCACTAGTATCCTCATTGCTCGAGAAAAGAACAGAAGAATGGAGACATAGGTGCCTTTATATTTGTTTCCCTTTGTTTGGTTTTTGATTTCTGTTGTTGTTCCGATGTGGGCATATTGCCGGAATATCAAAACAATCTATATCTTCAATTCTCGCCGGTTTTTCTCCGAGGGATGAGGCTATTACGGCTGTCTTATCTATATGAAGTGAGGCTCCTCACAAATGCACTTAACAACTTACATAACATTTGTTTACCTCTGCTCAAAGACGTCCAGTGGTGTTCCAAAACATGAGCTGGCCTAAAAAGGCTCGGAGATATGCTGCTGGTCGCGGAGCCTCCGATGCACCGGGTAATGAGCATAGCTACAGCATGCCTATCACGACACACAGCCAACCAAGGTTTGCAAGAGCGGCGACCTCCAGCGCCTTATGCAGTCGAGCCCCGTGCACCCACAGACCGTCACCAAGGCATCACACCGTCCATACACCACACACACACACACACACAACACACACACACACACACACACACCACAAACACACACACACACACACACACACACACACACACACCCACGCACACGCACGCACACGCAACACACACACACACACGCACACGCACACGCACCGCACACGCACACGCACACGCACACGCACACGCACACGCACACGCACACACAACACACACACACACACACACACACACACACACACACCACCCCACACACACACACACCACACCACAC